TTAAAGTCATCAAGGTATTTGTGATATAGATAACAGTGGTTGCTTATAATGTAATACCCAACAATGTAACAATAACAAAACTCAGTTATGCATTACGTATATTTCGAACATAAACGTTTTCAACGAAGCCATGCCACATGTTTGTAAAAAAAAAAGGAATATCTATTTTTCTTACCACCGCCATTTTCATAGCATAGGTAAGGGAATCTCCAGACGTTCCCTAAACCAACAGCATAACTGATGCATCCCATGATGAAGTCTAACTTTCCGCTCCAGTGGCCTCTCTCTGGTATGCTTTTGTCTTCTGTGTTTTGTCGAAGGACCACCTTTTTTAGAGGCACTATTACCGTTGTTGAAACGGGTTCTCTGGTAAGTTCGGTCTCCTTGAACATGTCGGTATTCATTTTTGTTCGATAAGTTTACAACACGATATGTCTACAACTGGTTGTCACGATAAAAGTTCTGAAAACCGTAGACAGAATTTTAGACTTTTAAAGCCTCTTAGCAAAGTAAACAAAAATAAATGAGCTCCATATACGATATACATGTTTCCGTAATAGAGGTCATAGTTCACAGTAATGAGTTTAATCCAAGAATCTCTTATTTTATCGGAGCACGTGAATTTAACTTCGCGTTGACAGTTCTTCCCCCTTTTTTTTACAGTCTCCCCCATCCCCAAACATTTCACTCATCGGGACATTCCTGTCATTCCTGGCGCCATTCAGACGAGCTTTGGAGCTATGTCATAGGTTGTTTCCATGGTAATACATGCGCATGTCATTCATAGTTCCTAGCAGTTTCCTTTAACTTCCATGTGAAAATAATAAAACGAGCTGAACGTGCCATCACAATTGTTAAGTTGGATTTAAATCTATCTGAATAATTCTAAAATAGTGTTTTAATTTGGCCTTCCGCAAATATTATAATTTCGTTGTACATAGAATGAGAAAACACATATAAACCATTTGTATCGTTTATTCTCACAAAGTTAATAGTCTAATGACTTGTGAGTATAGAACTAATGTATTCATGTACTTCTGAAATATGCACAAGCTTTTTATATTTCTTCAAAGTTTGGAGGTATCCTAATTTCCAGTTAAATCTGGTAATTAGCTCGTCATCATAGCTTGGTCTTGTGAGTTGTAAAATATATTAACTAACATATTTCCTATAATGATAGTGGAGAAATCTCTCCTGAATGTTGGTCTCAATCACCGACTTAGCTAGCCAAAACTCACATAGTTATAGTATGATTGTTATGATAAACTAGCACACGGACTTTTATTTAAAAATCATCCAGGCTAGATAATATCTTGTTTCCCTTCTCTACTCCTATTTAATGTCTGCGTGAGTTTTCTACTTTGGTTTCGCTATGTGTTTTGTCACTTAATGTAAGTCTACCTATCATTAATTACCTTTTTTATGGCATAAGTTTGTCACTTAGTTTCAGTTACCTAGTTATGGTGTAAGTTTGTCACTTATTTCAGTTACCTAGTTATGGTGTAAGTTTGTCACTTATTTTCAGTTACCTAGTTATGGTGTAAGCTTGTCACTTATTTTCAGTTACCTAGTTATGGTGTAAGTTTGTCACTTATTTTCAGTTACCTAGTTATGGGACATAAGTTTGTCACTTAGTTTCAGTTACCTAGTTATGGTGTAAGTTTGTCACTTAGTTTCAGTTACCTAGTTATGGTGTAAGTTTGTCACTTATTTTCAGTTACCTAGTTATGGTGTAAGTTTGTCACTTAGTTTCAGTTACCTAGTTATGACATAAGTTTGTCACTTAGTTTCAGTTACCTAGTTATGGTGTAAGTTATGTTATTTAATTAGAGAATTTCAGTTAGCTGTTAATGTATGAATTTTGTTACTTAATTGAGGTCTACGTGTTTTCAGTTAGATGTTTATACAATGAGTTTTGTAACTTAATTAGCGTCTACGTGTTTTCAGTTAGCTGATTTTGCTCTAAGTTTTGTTATTTGTGAGTCTATTTCTCACATTTTGTTACTCAATAACCTGCTTACTGAAAACCGTGAAACTACTTGTTTTCAGTAAGCAGGTTATTGAGT